CCGCCTGTAATATTACATCGTTGGCTTATAATATTAATAATATGACATTTATATCGCAAAAATACAAGTTACAATCATTGTATAATATTCATGAAGAAAATGAATATGTTTCGCGCAATTTACATATCGGTGCAATCTTGCGCGTTTTAACGATCGTATAACTGCGCAGCAATCTTAAGATTGCGCTGCACATTTTAACGTGGGCATCTTTATTCTTTTACTCACATCAAGGCACATTCACGTATATTTCCAAAAGTCCAAATGAAAATTGAAATTAAAATTAAAATTAGGTTTGAAACTGGAGAGCTCACGAGAATGGTACAATTATATAGCTTCTAATCATTAAAACGCGCTGCGCAATCTTAAAATAGCCCCACAATCTTAAGATTGCCATGCAATTATACGATCGTGAAAACGTGCAGCTCAATCTTAAGATCGGTAAATTGAGCAGAACACATACAGTCGAACTACAATGATGACAGTGAGGGGTGGCATTGGTGGGTGGGGCTAAGGGTGGAAGCTATACGTTCTTTTACTAACCGTCTCTGACGAAAATCTGTCTTAACGGAATCTCCCCGCTCCCCCCTTGATATATTCCTCTTTAATTACCTGTATAAAACGGAAACCTGTCCAACGGTGAAACGGAAAGCAAAATCCGCTCCCTTTCGAGGGTTTCACCCTCGGCCCACAGAGACAGTGTGTAGGCTCAGGGTGGAAGCAAAGGAGATGTTCAAACGTTTCTGTTTTAATAGGTCAAACAGTGGCAAGCACTGGTGGTAATTGGATACGTAAGACTGACGCATGTCATGATCAGACAGGATAGCAGCTGAGAGGTGTGAAGTTTTGACCACTGCATGCCGATCGGACAAGCGATCCTTGATCCCACCGGCTGGGCCTTTGAACCACCCCCCTCCCACCCAACCTCCCCCTAAATTCCCCTGTCTAAGACGGATTTTTTTCCAGCTCCTTTGCGATTCCGTCTTACACAGGTTCGACTGTACATAGATATTCATACGTATGCACATAATACTATTATTATGCAGTTCTACATTTACAAAAAAAAATAACAGGGTAGATCATTCAAGCGAAATATTGCATACACTCTTTCTTAATAAGGAAAAAATAGAGACTCATGTCTATTTCAAAAGCGCCTTAATTACAAATAAAACAAATTACAGTGGAATTCGGGACCGCAAAAAAGTGTTGACTTTGAGCAAGGTTGACTTTATCCATTGTACTTAAACTCGCCGTTGAAAATTGAAGGTGACAGCTACAAAATTACGAAGTAGGCCTTCCTGGTAACAAGGTATTAGCTCAATTTCAGTTAGCATAATTCTGGTTGTCACCAAAACAAGAGATAATGAGTGAACAAAGTAATTGGAGGCGTGTACACCACTAGCTCTGGACCTAAATATATCTTCTTAAATGAATTCATCTTGGGATTTAACCCCAAATTGTTGGCTTTACGCAAGGTTAACCCTCAAGCGGTTGACTGTATATGTATCTGGAACTGAAACACAATTACTTAAACAATGAATTATTGAATGTAGAAACGGGACCACAGTGAGGCGTTGACTGTAAGCAAGAGTTGACTTTAGCAGGATTTCACTGCATCTGTCATTAATGATCATTATGCTAAAAACAAAAAGTGAAATTAGTAATCATCAACAAAGGCAGTGTTCATCATTATGTCAAAAATATTTTATTTTTTTTAAAACAGGGACATCTGCTGAGCTGTCTTCCAAATGTGGGTCCTGTTCCAACTTCCTGCTCTGTTTCCTCTTCTTCCTTCACCTCCATTTCTTCCTGTGTAAAGCCCTGTGTCTCTTCATCAATGCTGCAATACGTGGAAAATATATTCCACATCCTTTGTGACCTCTGCACACCACGCAGCCTTTCTTGACCAAGGCCACCCTTTTTTCTTTATTTTTTCACCTCACAAAAGTGTATTATTACATTGGTTCAA